TGTATTAAAAGGAAGCAAATACACTAAAAATATATCTTAATTGCTGGCAATAAGGATGTTCTGCAGATTGCCTCTTTATGGCAGTAAATTATTCTACCTGCTCAAAACTACATCCCCCCTTCCCCCTTCAATAGAAAAAAATAATTACGGCCGTAAACGGCCTACTTCGCCCGACTAGAAAGAGCCACGCACCCTTTTCTCGAAAGACCTCAGAAAGCGACCTGTTTGCACTTTTTGGTAAGGGCTTGCACCGAATGACAATCACTTTATAGGTCTTGGTAACTGAAGAATAATAATAAAAGCGACCCTATAAAACATGCAAACTTCTCTATTGAATAGGTGCTACTGAGGCACTTTACTGCTACCACATACTTGAAGGGCACAGCCAAAGTCCTTAGCATTCCTCATTAAAAAGGTGTTCATGAGCATTGTAGCAGTAAGTTTGCTATATGTGGTTTAATTGCTGAAGGGATCAACGACGTAGATGGCCCGACGCAGCGGAGGGGGCAGCCTTGCAGTAGAGGTTCTACAATATGGCCGGCTTTCCTTTGGTCATGGGTGCTATTGACAGTACTTATGTTCGACACCCCATGTGCACCCCATGTGCACGAGGAGGCGAACGTCAACCGCCATGGGTACCATTCTATCAACATACAGGTGGTTGTTGATGCCACTTCTCGCATTCGCAATGTGGTAACAAGATGGCCTGGAAGCACCCACGACTCTCGGATCTTCACTGAGAGCACCTTGGCAGTCAAGCTGGCCAGTGGAGACCACGACGGCCTGCTGCTTGGTGACAGCGGCTACTCCTGTCAACCATGGCTGATGAAGCCATTCCTGTCGCCGTCATCGGCAGCACAGGTCGCGTACAATACGGCACACAAGACAACAAGAAGCCATATATTGTGAAGGGCGCACAGATCTTAATACAAGGCATTTCGAGACGACGAGCTGTCTTGACACAATTGTGCAACAAGTGCATGGTCCTTACGTCTTCTGCTATTCTTTGCGGCATATAAAAAAGTCATACAAATTATGATATTAATCTAACGAAGCATAAGATACCGTGGTTTCATGTAAGCAAGATGAAAGTAGTAACCCGAGATTATGAATCAATATGACTCATAATAGTTGCCTAATTTTCTGCAGTTTCAATTTTTATTTTTCTGGAATCGGCACACTTTTTTCAGTTGTTATTGTGAAAATAAAATTTTCTGTTTTTATTCATGAATATTTTTAGAGTCGAAAGCTTACTGCCTTTTTTCAAGCAGGTTTGTTGAAAATGCAGTAGATTAGATTCATATCCGAGTTATTCATGAAGTGGCAACACTTGCGGACATGGCAAACGTAACCTTGGTTAAACGTGTGCCGTGACGACAAACTCTAAATCGCGAAATTCGCAAATGTAATTCTTAGCAAGCTTTTTTGTTTCTCACATTTGGAAGACTATCAAAGCTAATTTCCTCTAAGCAGACAGAAGCTTGAGAGGCTGTTTAAGCAGCTTTGAGTTTTTTTTTTATGCCCCCAACAATAGGAACAGACTGACATTCCATTCCTCCCAGAAGTAAAAGTGAAAGCAAATAGAGACCAAATCTGGCCTCTATACGACCACAGCGAACTTGACGGACAAAGACTGAATCACGAAAGGGACACAGATCTCATCCACAACAAACCCAAATCTTCCTAAAGTGTGCTTCCAACAGAATAGTTCGAAGTCCCGGAGATAAGATAGTTGACTACTCAATCACATGCTTCTATACTTTGTCTACTCGGTCACCACTCGGTCACATGCTCCTATAATTGTGTAAAGTACTGGCCATTTTGGTTTAAAATCAAATGTTCTAAACTTACTTCACCACACTTTATTGGGTTTTATCGCTTGAAACTGAAAATGCAGAACCTCAGTTATGTCTTAGGTCCAGGACTGGCAATAAGGTACTGAACTCGAAGCATCTATCTGGACGACACAAGCCCGTTTCTAGCTCAGCTGAGCCCTCCTTATTAAACACTTGATGTTCTTTGTTGTTTATTCTTACTAAAGGTTATGTTGTATCATTTCACACGCGTGGAAATTCAACAAAGTGATAGATGTTCAGTCAGATGCTTCCATAATCTTAGTGCTATGGTATGCAAAACCTTTGGTCCTCCATATTTTCGTTGTCTTGCACAATCCATAGCTTTCATAAAGCGTTAGATTTTGATTGGTGCTGGGGAACCATTAACCTATTAACCCGACTGATCCGCTTGTCGGACATTGCCTGATGTCCGACGGGGAAAGGGGTTGGGCAATATTTCGGAATTTTTGTTTTAGATATTTAGCCAGAAAAACGGGACGGGCAATCCCACGAGGAAAAGGCGCCCTTACGGGATTTTAGGGTATGCAGGACGAAATAGATATATCCCTAAACAACAAAATGAGCCATACTACGCAAAATGGTAATTGTAACTAAATAACGAAGATTAAGAAGGCGTCAGTGGCGGGGTAATGCGATCTGAAGGAGGGGAGCAGCCAGGGGACACACATGGCGGAACCAAGTTTCCAGAATTCCTGGAGTGTGGGTCGAAGAACATAAGTTAGACCACAATAGGTCTATTAGAGAGAGGACTCCTTCAAGAGAGTAAGAACATTTGATATTGACTGTTCTGCCTACGTGACATATCAATCGTTTTTTCTTTTTTCTCTCTCTCTAGCGAAATGTTTTAGAGTTAGCTTTTGGGTGCCCTTCCACCACATCTATCAAGTTTCAAAAAAAAAAAAAGACACTAAATTGCATTTGTGCATTAAGTGGATACCCGCTGTCATGACATTCCGACGAAAAATGGCATTGTCAAACCTTGTTTTCTTTGAACTAACACTGCAGCTTCATCAAGCTCGTTATCAAGAAAGAAGGCCACAACACACAACCCCCATTTGCAGCCCCAAAAGGACAAGAGGCTAGTGCTGAGGCCGCAATGCGCAACCCCCGTTCACAGCCTCGAAAGGACAAGGAGAGTGCTAGTGGTGAGGCTGCAGCATGCAACCCCAGGCCGCAGTCCCAAAAGGACAACTGGGACGAGGAAAGCTCCAGTCGTGAGGATGGGGAGGAGGACATGGTGGCAAGTTGTGAGTCTGTTTACGAACATTTAGGGCTCAAGAGTGCAAAGGTTGCAGTGCTTTTTTATACGGCCCCCTCAACGACTGCTTGAAACTAAAAAAACTCGGCTAAGGTAAAGCTTCTCAGTTGTAAAGTGGACTGTATTAATATGCCACTGAACAGAGTGCGATCACACTCTCCACAAAAATGGTTCTTTGCTCCTAATCAAATTCCGATGGTGTATAGTTCTGGAAGAAATTGTAACAAAAAAAAACCTTGTAACCCCTATTTCAGAGCACAGCAAAAAAAAACGTAGCAAACCGCTTGGTCGAAGCCGCAGCTCACATATGGCGCCATCATTGGTGCAACAACATACCTGCTAACTATCCCGGATTGTGCAGGAGACTTTCAAATTTGGGTCACATCTTCCGACTGTGCAAATGCAACCTCAAACCTCCCAAAAAAACAACCGCAACATTAGTTTTTCTTTTTTCTAGTTGTGGCAGCTGCACGGACCTGGCGTTATCGGCCAGAGCCTCGTTTAATGCCGTATAGCCGCATTGCCATTGCCAACAGGCTAGCACGGCTAGGTGGTGCTGGCTACCGCCTAACACAGAAAGGTGTATCGGGTGTAATAATTAACTATATTCATTTCGTGCGGCCATGCGTATTAGGCGTGCGAGGACTCGGTGAGTAGGCGGCTTAGTCCTAGCCTAGATCGAACTGTTTGTTTTGTGCTGGAGTTCCATTCATTGATATTCGGCGTCAGATTGGGGAGTGTCACTTGCTAAAGGGGAAAAGAGGTACCTTCAAGTATTCTTAAAGTCGTATACAACTAAATTTGCATGGCTCGTGTCGTCAGTGGAACGTGACAAGTTTGTGATCCTGTTTAACCCGCACCTGTGATATCAGCCTAGCTCACGGCGGTAACACTGATATCAAGGTCCACATCGCCTCCCAGAAGCACTAGGGCTATCTTTGCGTTGCAGCAAGTAAAGGAAAACCTTGGGTTTCATTAATTTGTTGAAACGTGAAGGGTGCGGGTTGGGGGGGGGCATTGTGTGGCAGTTCCTTGCTACCCGCCCCCCCCCCCCATGCAACAACTTCCGAGCTCTTTCGAGCTAGTTATGCATGCTTTGATCTGTTCTCCTTTTGGTCTGAAAGATGGATGGCCCCTTCCAGTGTACCTCTACATACGTGTCAAGTGAGGTAAAAATATGAAAAACCAAGTTATCTTATTCATTGCATGCGCTTGCTTGTGTTTCAGGTGTCCAACTACGACTGCTCCATCTGCTGCTGGGGGTGCGACAGCAGAACAGGGACATCTTAAATGAGCTTTCGCAGCTCAAGGTCGTCACTGAGGTGCATGACGACAGACTGGGACAGCTGGAGGCACTAGGAGCACGGGCTGCACCAGCACCAGAGGCTGTTGCTCGCCCGGTGGTTCTCTCAAGGCTACCAGCTACAACTCTGGAAGAATTAATGGCGGCGGAGGAAGCCGTGCAGGACGAGGCTGTGGCGGCAGCCTTGGTATTTACTGGCTTTTTTTTTTATTTTACATTCTGTGTTATTACACATCATAAATTTTTTTTTTCTGTAAAATTGTGCACAAAGCCTAACTATTTCTTAACTCCTTTCTTGGAGGTTAGCTGTACATAAGTACAACATGTGGTCATGCACCCAAAGAAGTTGGCATGCATGCATGCTCTGCAGTGAGCATTCTGATGTAGCACTCACTGTAAAATGTTTTTAAAAAGTTCTTATTTAGCAACATGCAAAGTTCGAACTAAGAGGACTTTAGTTAATGAGATTTCACTTTAGCATTTGTGAGGAGGACACATTGTACTTTCGAATGTCTCTAGTGATTATGTGGATATCTACCATTTTGTTTCTGTAGTGCAAATGTGGCTTACGGTGGCTTTTATTGAGCATCTTGCCTCACCGTCACTTCAGCAATGTGAAGCATTGTTAGTGCAAAGAATGCTATCTGGTGTAGGGCACATATCGTGTTGGATTTCTGTCTTTCATTAAATGGGCACTGCAAAGAAAAGAAAAACTCCTTTTTAAAACAGCCTGATTACAGTCCAGATAACACAAGATATATTGACCCCAAAAAAGAAAATTTGAGCATTATTAAAGGTGTGAGAGTTATTCGAGTTCTCCTAAAAAAGGGCCCTTAATCTGCCTAACAGCCACCATGCTAGGAAAAACTCAAATAAGGCTCAAGGCAATAATACAGTAGAACCTCGCTAATACGATCTCGGTTCATACGATTTCCCGTCTCATACGTTCACAATCGAGGGCTTAAAAAATGTCCCATAGAGTTACGACTGGTTTATATGTTTCTGGGTAATACGATTTCCCGGGAAGTATGTCCAAAGTTTCGCCAAACCGATCGGATTATACGTTTTCTGGGCAATGAGCTCCCGATCTTCGGGCAGAACGGTTGTCGCCGCACGCACCGCATGCCGAACGTTCTTGATGTCGATGTGTTTGCGTTCGCTTCTTGATTTTTAGTCGTTTTCATGATAGACACATGACTAAGAGTCACTCTCGGTTACTTCACCAAATGCTTGAAGACACCATTTAAACTGGCTACGCGACTGTGAGGATGATAAACGCTTCCCAAAGAGTAACTCTTGAGCCAGGTACGGGTGGTAGTAAATGAACGAACCCGACGACTTTTTTGTTTGACATTTCGCGAGGTCGGCATTCCGGCATTACTCTGTTGCAGTGCCGTGGTGCACGTCAGCCTAGCTTCTTTCCGTACCCGTGCCCGAGAACTGGCGATAGCATCGCGCAAGCGGAAACCTTTGACTTTGAGGGACCTGGCACTTGTCGACCGGGACCCTAAACGGAAAAGAATTGACATCGCCAAGGACCTCGGACTGCCTGCGTCGAGGGTCAACACGGTCGCGTCGAAGCGAAAGCAAATAGAAGAAAACGCCCTGGTCTTCGGTGCAGCGATGAAGCAGGCTTGCGGAGCAAAGCACGGAGTTGGAAAATGCGCTGCTTAAGTGGTTTAAGCAAGCACGGGCATCTGGTGTGAGCTTCGATGGCAACATTCTGCGGGAAAAGGCCATGGAGATAGCAGACATCATGGGTATCGAGGACTTCGCAGCTTCGAACGGCTGGATGGACCGAATTCGGCTTCGCCATGGCATCTCGTACCGCCAACTGAATGGCAAAGCAACCAGCATGAATCCGGCGGATATTGAAAACTGGATTTCATTGCTTCCAGGCATTGTGAATGCCTACGCCCCGCGCGACGTCTACAACGCCGATGAACTTGGCCTCTTTTTCAAGGTGCAACCCACGAAGTCCCTGAATTTGAAGGGGGAGTCGTGCCACAGCGGGAAGGTCAACAAGGATCAAGTAACCATGCTGCTTTGCTGCAATGAAGATGGCACGGAAATGACCAAGCTGTGGATGATCTGGAAATGGAAGAACCCGACATGCCTGAAAAACCTCGCTCGGCTTCCTTGTGTATATAAGCACAACACCAAGGCTTCGATGACCAGCAGCCTCTTCGAAGTGTTTCTGCGGTACCTCGACGGCCGACTGGGGTGCAAACACCGGAAGGGGCTTCTGTTTTTGGATAACTGTTCAGCTCATCCGAAGGACACGTCGTTCCTGCGCAACCTCCGTGTCGTCTTCTTGCCTGCGAACACGACGAGTCACCTGCAGCCTCTGGACGCCGGGATCATCAAGAACGTGAAGCACCTGTACAGGAAGTGCATCGTGCGACGCTTCTTGGCTCGCGTGTCCCCGGCAAGCTCACGTTGCTTGATGCAATGCATTACCTGAATGCATCGTGGGAAAGCGTGACCAGCGAAACAGTCAAGAACTGTTTTAGGAAGTGTGGGTTTCGGCGTTCGCCAGGAGTGGAGGACCCCGACCCTTGCGAGACTGAAGATGATGACATGGACGAGGAGCCCCGGTCCACCGGCGCAGAGCTGGCGTTCAGCAATTTTGTCGCTGTGGACGACGACGTCCCAACGTGCAACCCTCAAACCGTTGCTGACATCGTGGCGGAGTTGCGACAGGGTCAAGTTACCAGAGACGAGCACAACGACAACAAGGATGAGGATGAGCCAGAAACTCCTCCAAGAGCTACTTTCACTCAGGCAATCGCTGCACTGGATGTGCTGCGGAGCTACTTTGCCACGAAAGATAACCCTGCAGCCGAGGGAGGCCTGAAAACGCTGCAAACGGAACTCTTCCTGCCAAAAGGTCAAGGTGCGCGCCAGCAGAAGCTGACAGATGTTTTCGGGAGGTGAGGTTCTTGTATTAAATCTCTTTCAGCTGCACTCGCGACTTTTGTTTTTTTCCTAATGCCTAGAAATGTCAAGTTCGGATCATACGTTTTCCCGGATCGTATGTTTTTTTCCTCACATTTTTTTCGAAACGTATCAACGAGGTTCTACTGTATTGCTCCAATGAATTTTCTTTTCGGTTGAAAATACATCTAGTGGTGTGCAAATCATAATCAGCCTGTTTAAAAAAAAAAATAATTCAGTGTCCCCTTAACCTTTCTGAATCATGTAACAACATACTTTAGCCTTTCCGGTCAGAATGCTTTTACAGAAAAAAAAAACACAATCCAACCAGTGAGTCACTGTGTATTCATTCAGCTTTCATGCTTCGTACAAGCACTATTCTTTGAATTTAGCGAACTGGCCATCTACTCTTGTCGGTGCCAACTCAAGAAGGTAGGGCAAGAGGAAGGATGGTGGGGGAGGAGGAAACTGCAACGCTGGTGAGGGGAGAAGGAAACCCAGCCCTCCCTCGCCAGCGGTGGGTCCGTTTCATCCTCTCTCACCTTCTTTTTGCTGATTCAAATGGCAATGAAAAGGCTTCCATGATAATAAAAATTGTCTTTATCATTTTTCTGAACCCGGAAAAGCACATTCGGAGAAAGATGGGGCAATCCATCTGTGCGAAAATCAACAAAGATGACAAGATATCGCAGGCCATCATTGGAAGGTGGCTACTGGGATCGGGTGACCGGGGTGGCGGCAGAAAGCGTAGAATCATTGTGACGATGGGCGATGGTCCACTTCAGGAACTGCTTCTGCCCATGTCCCCAGTTCAAGGGGTTGTTAGGTCGAGTCATGTAGGGTGGCATTTTTGCGGTGCCATTTCCATGGGCACCGTGGATCAATGCCACCCTATAGGACTCGAGCTGTTTCGCTATTACTTTTTATTACATTTTTTTGTTTTGCTTCTACTTTTTGATATGTTTCCTTTGAAACATTAAAGCAAGTGTGAACTACCAAAATATAAATTTATAATTTTTTCACTTTGGTTTCCAAGTTTTTTCCATTTCACAGTTATTCCCCATAACAAGCTTTCTTCTGAACAAAAGAATAAAGGAAATTGTGCAATAGCAAAACAAATAAAGAGACGTCTTGTTTGTACCGTCTTTGTAGCCTCTTTTTGGCTGTTAGAAGTGTTAAACAAAATTTTCGCAAAACTATTGGTTCTGAATTCGTAATTTGCAAGCTGTAGCGCATGGTACAAAGCAGAGTAATTTTTCTGTACACGATTCTTTAAAATGACTAAGTATTGGAGTAGAGGAGATCCAGAGCACTATGCCTAATACCCAGGTCATGGGAATAATTTCTAACCATAAGATAGCTGTGGATCACCGGAATAGTCAATGTTGGGGTAAAGTACCAGTGGTAAGTATACATAGCAAACAGTGGCCAAATGTCTGGAATTGTGGTTGGATAATTGGCTACTATTGGTGTCGATGACGGCCAAAGTTGGCTCAAACGATGGATGAGCAATGGCCAAACATTTGCTGGAATGATGGTTGAGCAATGGCCCAACATTGGATTGGGTAGTGCGTCCAGTATTGTCCAAGATTACGCCGGTCTTAGCCAATGTGGGACAACCATTGGCTGGAACGATGGTTTAGAAATGGCCCAACATTGGTACCAATGATGGAGCCAACATAGGCTGGAACGATGGCCCAACATTGGCACCAATGACTGGGCCAACGTTAGATCGGGTAGCGCTTCCAATATTGTGGCCGATCTTTGCCAATGTTAGGCCACTGTTGAACCAACATCGGTCTACTGCCTGGGCAGGACAGAAGTTTACATTTTGTTAATTAGACGAAAAGAAGCACTAATGGCAATGGAATTGTTTACCTAGACAAAAAAGTGGAAGTAACACTGTGCCTTGAAAGTTTCATGTGTCTACTTTTTGAAATGTCAGTTTCGGGCAGGTTAATGGGAACTAACTAAACATGCTAGATATGTATGTACTCATATTGAGTGCACAAGTACAGCTAAGCTCGTGCGTGCTGGGATGCCTGTGGGCCAGAATAGCGGCATATCGCTGAGAGTCGCAAATGATTGTGTGTTGCTGACAGTCCCAACCGGTTGGCCAAGAGCAAATGTCTAGCATGACCTATCCTGCTCTCATCGATGGACTTAAGAGTTGTGCCAAGACATCATTTCGGACAATGTTCATGTTGAGCATGCAATAACAAATTTCCACAAGTAGCCCTATACGCACCATCATACACGTCATTCGCAACTGATGATGAGTCGCCACAATCTCAAATGTTCAGGCAAATCTTGCTTGAGATTCCATTGTGAAAGCACCATAAAACCCTCTACCAAAACTTTTGCCGCATGCATCCAGGAGCTTCCACCTGAGAGAAATGGCAGTGCGTGGACCACTAACTAATAGGAACACCAGCGGCACGATCAAAGGGTGGGAGTACTTGGATAAGTCACTATATCAAGCCCTTTATGTCTCACATATCCCAGGCTTACAAGAGGGGTTCTTATTAATCAACGACTAGAGCCCTGCACGGATAACAGTTTGATTGTCCGCATCCGATCCACATCCGCAGACTTTGTATATCCGCATCTGCAAACTTTTTACATTATTGTATCCGTATCTGATCTGCATCCACATATTTTGTATCTGTATCCAAACCGCATCCGCCAGAATCCAGGCATTCATTGTATTTCATAACATCAAGCGTGAATGAAAAAAAAAAAAAAATACAAATATCAC